TTTCTGAAGAAGGGTCTAGGCCCGAAACGTCAGCCTTCCTGCTCCTCTGATGCTGCTTGGCCTGCTGTGTTCATCCAGCTCTACACCTTGTTATCTCAGATTCTCCAGCATCTGCAGTTCCTACTATCTCACATAAGTTCTATATGAGATGAGCTCTGATACACATTAGTGCTAGCATATCCCCTACTCAATCATTACCATCAAGCCAGGGGATCAACCCTGATTCAAAGAAGACTGTAGACATACATGCCAGGAGGAGCATCAGTGAAGCTGCACAACAGAACTGTCTGTACCAAGCAGCATAAACAGCAAGTGATGGACAGAACTAATGGATCCCACAGCCAATGGATCAGATCTAGGTTCTACAATCATGCCATATACACTGGGGAAGATGCTTAACAAATAGCTCATCCTCAATGATGGGGGAGCCCAGCACACAAAAGATAGAGCTAAAGCATTTGCAGCAATCTTCAGCCAGAAGTGTCAAGTGGTTGATCCATTTCGGCCTCCTCTAGTGGTCCTAGCATCATAGATGCCAGTCTTCAGCCAATTTGATTCACTCCATGTGATGTCAAGATACAGCTGCAGTCACTGGATACTGCAAAGGCCATTGGCCCTGATAACATTCAGGCAATTGTACTGAAAACTTGTGCTCCAGAACTTGCCGCTCCCCTAGCCAAGCAGTTCCAGTACCGTAACAGCACTGGCATCTATCCAATAAGGTGGAAAATTGCCCAACTATGTCCTGTACATAAAAAGCAGGACAAATCCAACCCGGCCAATTACTGTTCTGAGGAAGGGTCACCGGCCCTGAAACGTTAACTCCTGTTTTTCCTTCACAGATGCTGCCAGACCTGCTTAGCTTTTCCAGCAACTTTGTTTTTGTTCCAGCCAATTACTGTCCCATTAATCTACTCTCAATCATCAGTAAAGTGAGGGAAGGTGTCATCAACAGTGCTATCAAGGAGCACCTCCTCAGCAATGAGGGGTGGCTCAATGGTTAGCACTGCTGCCTCACAGCATCAGGAACCCAGATTCAATTCCACCCTCGGACTGTCGACGTGGAGTTTGCACATTCTCCCTGTGTCTGCCTGGGTTTTTTTTCCGGGTGCTCTGGTTTCCTCCCACAGTCTAAAGATGTGGAGGTTAGGTGGATTGGCCATGCTAAATTGTCCGTAGTGTCTGGGACCTGTATAGGTCAGGTGGGTTACGTTGTTGGCTTGCTTGCCGAACTGGCTGGTTATCATACAATAAGCCAACAACCACATTCACAACACGAGCTACAAATCTTCAGATGAACTTTCGGTGGGTTAGACATGGGAAATGCAGAGTTACAGGGATAGGGTAGGGGGTTGGGTCTGGGTGGGAGGGGCCAAATGGCCTGCTTCCACACCGTAGGGATTCTATGAGAATAACCTTCTCAGTGATGCCCAGTTTGGGTTCCGCCAAGGCCACTCAGCTCCTGACCTCATTACAGCCTTGGTTCAAATATGGACAAAAGAGCTGAATTCCAGAGGTGAGGTAAGAGTGACAATCCTTGATGTCAAGGCCATATTTGATCGAGTGTGGTATCAAGGAGCCCTGGCAAAACTGGTATCAGGGGGCAAACTCTCCACTGGTTAGAGTCATACCTGGCACTTAGAAAGATGGATTTGGTTGTTGGAGGTCAATCTTCTCAGTTCCGGGATATCTCTGCAGGAGTTCCTCCGGGTAGTGTCTTAGGCCCAACCATCTTCAACTGCTTCATCAATGACCCTCTCTCCATTGTAAGGTCAGGAGTAGGAATGTTCACCCATGGTTGCACAATATTCAACACTCTCCTCAAATACTGAAACAGTCTATTTTAAATGCAGCAAGACCTGAATAATGGGCTGAAAAGTAGCAAGTAACATTCATGTCAAACAAATGCCAGGTAATGACCATTTCCAATAAGAGATAATCTACCCACCACCCTTAGATATTCAATGGTATTACCATCACTGAATTCCCCAATATCAACATCCTGGGCGTTATCATTAACCAGAAACTCGACTGGATTCACCAAATGATCACAGTGCCGACAAGAACAGGCCAGAGGCTAGGAATAATGCAGAAAGTAACTCACCTCCTGATTCCCCAAAGCTGATCCACAAGGCACAAGTGAGGAGTTTGCTGGAAAAAAAAAATCATCACTTGCCTGGATGAATGTAGCTCCAAAAACACTCAAGAATTTTCGCACCATCCAAGACATAACAGCCTGCTTGATTGGCACCACATTCACAAACGTTCACACCTTCCACCACTAACACTCAGCAGCAGCAGTTATATATCACCTACAAGATGCACTGCAGAATTTCCCCAACTCACATTAGATAGCACCTTCCAAACCCACAACCATTACAATCTAGAAGGACAAAGGCAGCAGATACATAGGAACACCGTCAGTTTTAAGTTCCCTTCCATCCTGAAATGGAAATATGTCACTATTCCTTAACTGTGGCTGCGTCAATATCCTGGAATTGCCTCTCTAACTGCATTGTGGGCTAATCTAGAGCATGTGGACTGCAGCAGTTCAAGAAGGCAGCTCACTACCACCTTCTCAGGGGTGACTAGGGATGGGCAACTGACAGCAAGGCCCACATCCCATGAATAGATTAAAAAAAACCTGTATGAGAAACAAAAAATAAACATGATTTCCCAGAACCAATCATGATTGAATTGGTAG